AAATCCGAAGTCGTTAGTTTTATTGTGTTCTTACAGTGCGGATACTCTAACCATGAACGCTCAGCTCTTTTTTGGACATTTTTTCTGCATTCTTTCGGAAGCAACCAATCACAGACTAGATCGGTTTCAGCGTGAGGACGTTATTTCGACATTTTCCCGATATAATTTTGACATTATTTTGACGTTTATTCGAAATCACGATTTTAGCAGTAAGTTAAAAAGAACAACAAATTGAGTTCAATTAACAAATTGACATCAGATTTTTATGTGTCTGTCCTCTTATTGACAATAAATTGCGTCATCACATTGTCAAAGTAGTGTGCATCCACGAGGCGTAGCCGAGTGAATCCGCATACTACTTTGACAATGTGATGGCGAAACGTATTGTCAATAAGAGGACAGACACATAAAAATCTGATGTCAATTTGTTTTTTACAATAACAAAAACGATAAAAACTTCTCATTTTTAGCGATCAAAACAACCAACGGAAAGAGCGCGAGCTCGTTGACGTCAGCTTTATCTGTCTGTCCTCTTATTGATGATGAAAAATAACCAATCAGCGCGCGAGAAATTTGTAAGTTATTGTAAAATTTGTGTTTGAAATATATTAACATTGGTCAACAAGTGGAGTACAAGGAATAACTAGTATGAAATTTTAGCCATTTTGTTCAAATTACAATTACGAACATACATCAATACATGATCATTCGTGCGGTCACGTCAGGCCTCCTTGCCGATCTTCTATATTTTGTTTACTGACATATGTTGCTGGATAATTTCGTGCCGAGAGGTTTGCGCTGACAGTTACAAGATTACTGATTGACGATCGCAGAAACTGACCCCAAAAACAAACAGAACTTAAAAACTTTGCTGGTCGCGATGCACGGTTTTGGCTGTAATGATTACATTCATTTATGCACGCGTGGACACATTCTATTATTAGGTTTGTGCGTGTGAAACTTTCCAAATATTTTTGACAGTTTTGTTTTATAAGCTTGAGTTTCGAGCTTAAATTACTCAGCCAAAGCTAAAAGGTCTGACAAAATAATCGTTTTTATCGCGTACAAAACCAGTTCGATGAGAACCGTAGTATCATTGAAACATTTTGTCTCAGTCGGTAACTTGTCTGTCAGGTGTTTCAGCGATGAGTCGAGTAAGTGCTCTTCTGAGTTACACTGGCCGAACAGACTACATTACTGAATGTTTGACATTATTGATTTTATAGTGCCCGGGGATGGGGGGGGGGGGGTATACACGGGGGGTACGTGCCGCCAAACAGGGTATGGTTTTCAGCGTTTCTACTCTGGAACAGGGTATATAAAATCGCGCTCGCTCTGGAACAAGGTATATGGAATCACGCTCTCTCCTCTCTGGAACAGGGTTTTCAGCGATCTTGCACTGGAACAGGGTATGCATTTCAGCGATTTTTACTCTGGAACAGGGTCAGGGTTCCGAGGGCTCAGCGGCACATCCCTACCCTAAACAGGCAAGAGTACCCCCCGGGGTTCCATGATGTGATATGATGTCGTGTTCATTGCTCAAAACGTTATTCAAAAAGTTTAAAACTAAATAACATTCCTAAAATTACCGGCAAACGAGAAGCGAACTAGAATGACAAACGTGCAAAAATAATTCAGGTGAAAAAAGTGTACCTGTTTTGTTATTATGGTAAGAGTACTTTCATTTTGAATTTCATTCAATAATTTTATAACTTTCTACAGATAATTTATCTAAATATTGAATGAGTTCAAAATTTTCAAATATTCAACTGTTTATTGAGCTTTTCGACCTAGTACATGATTCAATAAAAATGAGCTTAAATTTGTGTTGTTGTGAGATATGTTATTTTATAAAGAGCGGTATCTTGTCTTTCACTTTCAAAAGCTAAGAAAATATCTTTGTGTTTATTATAAATCGCATACATAGAGATTAGATATAGATATAACATGGGTGCGCGGAGATTTATCTTCGAGTGTTGAAAAGATCTCTCACCCGTTCGCTACGCTCACTCGTGAGAGATCTTTTCAACACTCGAAGATAAATCTCCGCGCACCCATGTTATATCTATATCTAATCTCTATGTATGCGATTTATAATAAACACAAATATAATACTTTTTTTTTTTAAAACGAAGCAAACGAATGAAAAAAACTGAAAAGGATAAAACATTAACAGAAAGTAAAACTATATAAACAAACATAATACAGGGGGGGAAACACACGTAAAAAAAAAAAAACACTTTAACAACTCTTGTGGATAAATGAAGGACTGCGAACAGTCAAAATTATGGCCTTGATATTCAAGATTAAGAGGAATATCAAGAGGAATTGAAAAAATAAAGAATATGTAATAAACCCCTATCGAAATTATCTTTGATGCGAGGCAACCTTGATATACAAAAGAAACCTCACACCTTTTGTCGACAGAATATGTGCCGTTTATTTTGTATTTTCATGTTTAGATCCCATTCAAGGAGGGCCTATTATGATCACTGTCGTTTTATTGATAAGTGATCCAAGAATAATATATATATTTAGGCACTGTCTAAAAGCGGAGCTCCCGATACGAAAGTCACAGGTAGCCCAATTTGAATGAATCAGAAAGGTAAAAACAAGATCGGGGAAAAAATCTTCAATTATTTTTCATTCGAGATGGAGACAATGTCTCCCATAATAAAAACCATGCAGTGAAATCGAATCGAAATGCACTACATTGTTTTCTTTGCGTGAGTATACTCTCCCACTAAGGAATTTTGTATACAACTCACCACCACCCCCAGGGACTAGTTTTGTTTTTGGAAGATTCTTTGACAAAGTTTTCCATGGCCGATATTCTTAAGCTTTGAATTCCTGGTTAACTTTACTTTAAAAAACGAAAGACAACTACAGACAATCTAACACAATATCAGGTTTAGTGAGATTTACCTTGGATGTCTTTCATTGAAATCAAAATTTCGGAGATTTCCTAACTTTTTTATGGACAAATGAACCAGGCATATGAAGACAGACTAGAAAACTGCTTAAGAAAAGGTGAGCAAAACATAAGCTTACTTTTACTTCTTTTACATGACAATGTTTGGTTATCCATATGAAGAGTTTGGGTTTTTATAAGAACCTATTTTTACCGCAATGAAGTTAATAGGAAATAAATGATTTGGTAGCATCAGAGAGAAAATTAGCTGGAGATCATAACT